CAACATTTTTGGGGACACTTCACTTAACTCCACGTCTTGTCCAGTTCATGGTGAAAAATCGAGCCTTGGCGATACAGCACGAATTCCTTATTTTTTCTCTGCTCCCTCCTTTCCCCCACACCTTCGGGGTGCGGTGTAAACTCCATTATTCATGTCTTCGTTGAGGTGGACTGAGAATCGGGCGAATGAACTGGTTGGTGCATGCAGTAGATTGGGGCATCGAGAGCTTATAGCCAATTCAAACGTTCTTACAGTCACGAAATTCCTCCGTGCCTCAATACCTAATGTATCAAGGTTGAATCCACAACAACAACAAAAATAAATAAAGTCCAGTCCCATAGTGAGCGTCCTCCGAGTGTGCTATCGATGATACGTCTGACGAGTAAATGAGACAGGAAGGGAGAGATTGCCTCAAGGAAAGACACGGGGATGGCAATGGTTGGAGCGAAAGAGGGATAAAATCACTTCTCTCGTGCTGCTCTGAGTTTCTGAATTCCATATTTATTTTATAATAGCTTTGTTACCTGATGGAAATGGTTCCAGCACCAAAACAATTTAACGTTTGCAAAATCTTCTCGCCGACGCAGACATCTGGGCGGTTGTGCCAGGAGGCTCATTTCTCTTTCTAAGAAAGGAGGCTCGCTAAAAAGGAAGACGGAAGAAAGGGAGCCCAGGATCCCACTTATACCGCTTTAAACCCGAGATGCTGTAGTCGATAGGCATGACTGGCTGCCTTTTTGCCACCAAATCTCTGGTGTAAGGATTTTCTTTTCAAGAAGGGGGAAAGGGGAAGCCCCCTAACCCCCTGTATTTATGCCTATGTGTTTCAGTGATTGAGTGAAAAATTCGTACTGGATAAGTAGAAGCAAAGCTTCTATAGGGATCGAATGGGGTCTATTCGGTCGGTGCCGTCCGTTGCGAATCGGTAACAACTTTCAAAACTGGCACAAGGTTTTCTATAATGACTTCATCACAACTGCCGCTGGGTAGGAGGATCAATTGAACTTATGGATGTGCAAGAGCTAACGGAATGGCATTGAAGTGCATATGGCAGGATATTATGCAACAATGATAACAAGCGACGGCAGAAGAGGTGGTCTTACTTCAATGCATGGAAACAGATCTCAACGCCAAACTATTTTCATTCAATGCAAGATACCGAAAGGAGTTCAAACATTCACTGACGTACTTTGATAGGGGGAAAATGCCAGCAGAGTCGATTACTATGGTAGAGAAATAAGTAATACACAAGGAGTGTTCTGATCCAGAGAACATGACAATCGATGGCCATGTTCTTGACAATCAATCTCTTGGGGAATATTGGGAAATTTATTGTGGAAAGTCAACGAATCCAGATTGTAATTGGCTGCAACGGAGGAATAACAGGACGTGCAAAAGAACGAGAACAAAGTTGCCACGCAAGTGTGGAAGAAGAGGAATTCTCGAGCGAATGGAGGGAGAACTCGAGAAACGCATGAATGTAGAAGTGGGAAAATTTAGGAAACTGAGAACAGCAGTGAAAAAGAGAATGGCTTCTGAGAAGTAGATGTAAGCGTAAACGTAAACTTCCAGAACTGAGTGTGGAAAAGTTGAGGAAGAAATGGAAGTACTCATCGAGGAAAACGCGACAATGAAAGTAACGGGGAAAATGAAAAATTTGTTCGAGACAGAGAGTAAGTGCCAGTGCTGTGCTACTGTGGGCTCTTCTTGAATGAAAATCACTCCTCATTCCTACGAGGTCTCATGACACGCGACCCTTACGTTTCTCTGCTTTCATCCGTTCTCTCGTATCTCTTCTTTAAACGTAGCTTTCTCAGGTGTCGCTTGTGTTGCGGCGAGGAAGTAAAAATGCTGCGTATCTCCGATTTCCGCACGGCAAGGAATGCCAACTGCCAAAGGACACAAAACTCGTGGTTTTTGTTTCTTCACTTCTCCACTTCATTCCATCGCGCTCCACGTGCGTTGCTGGAGTTCCTCATATCAGCATTTCCTAACCTTATGCACGTATTCCTCGACTTCTTCGGTCTGAATTCTCCAGTTTTACAGTCACGTCTTCATTCCTCTTGCTGTTCATCACCTCTATCGGACATTCTCCACTTGATCTCCCTCTGTCCAGTTTCTTGCTTTCTACATTTTCCGCCAGACATGCGATATTGGGCTTTTCAAAAATCACCTTGAGGCATGTATAATTCTGCTATCGCTGCTGTAGTTCTCGAATTTTCCAAAAACTACTGTTACTTCTTTACTCTTTTTTTTAAAACTTGTTTTGCTACACTGGATTTTTCACCTCCCTCCTTTTATATTCCTTATTTCATTCCCTCACTGCATGCGTTCAATAATTCAGATTCCCTTTGCTCAAATCCACGTTTTCCAATAATTCCTTTTTTTTTTAATATTTTTTTGACTGGGTAACATCCCTTGTTTTTTTTTTTTTTTTTTCTCTGCGTGCATTCACTTCTGCCGTTCTCTAAGAGGCTTGAATTTTCGCATGCTTTCTTATACGGAAATCTGCGAGAGTCAAAATGCAGAAAACTCCTGGGTCCTCAGAACTTAATACTTTGATCCATGACCCACTTCGGCTTCCATAGATGTGTGCTTACACTTCAAAGCGGGGCTTGTAGATGATTCATTCGTGGTGCGACTAGGAACGGAGGCAGGGATGAGGCAATGATTATGAAGCTGGACCATTTCAATAGGTTAGCCCTTTTGCTGACATATATAAATCCACCTACACGAGAAGCGGAGAAAGGGAAAGTCCGTTGTGGCCTTGTGTACAGAAGAGAAAAAGGAATTAACTGAATCATGGATAAATCTAGGGTCCACTTGACGAGGAAACAGTGAATGTGTTGATGAATCATGCACACGATACTTTCTCCAGAAGCGAGCCAACCGAATATTGTGTTGCTCGTCTAGAGACCTGAATCGGTATGTTCAAACAGAGCCCTGCTGTAATAATGATATGATTCCGCCGTCTCATCCTTCCTCTATTTTCTATCCCTTTCCCAATTACAATCAGAGTTCATTTTCTCGCCTCCAAGGATCCTTAACAAACCGATGCCGTTTCATCAGACCGCCGTTTCTCAACGTTCCCTCGTTCCTCATTTTCCTCTTCGAGAATGTAGGGGATTGTGGGCGGGTGAAAAAATGATAGTCTCGCCGGGTTACCTCTCTCACAGGGGGTTTCGATCCACATTAAGTCTATCATGAAGCTGTGCATAGCATTCGATCGGCTGTATTGCAATCAAGGAGACGAGAGAACGAAGCCAGAGCTCATTACCATGAACATGAATCACTCGGTGGGGAAGGGATCATGTTCGAGAAAGAACTCCGTTCCAGCCCGATATGAGAGACTCATATCCCCAGGTGTGAACATCCATCTATTACTACAGCTCCAGGAAGTTCCCATTTTTCCCAGTCCTCGGATAATTGCAGGGTCTCGGCGAGATCGGAATTCTCTTTCTATCTCCGCCTACAGAGCGCTATGGTAACCTCGGTCGTGGCACATGCACAACCTTTTAATTAGGAGGGCGTTATTAATAATGCCAACTCCCTCGACCATTCACGTCAAAATGTGACAGCCAATCATTACGGGCGAGTGGTGGGACGTCCTCCTATTCACTCTCTGTGATGCATTGGAGGAAAAATACGATGAAATTTTTCCGAAAAAGGAGAATATGGGAATGTGCGCAAAATATGCCAGGACCTGCATGATCCCGACAGAGAGAGAGACGTGAACGGGGACCTTCAAATATCGAGTCTTGAGGCCGCTCGAGCCCGAGCAGCCTCGGGGGGAGGTGAGCCTCCTTTAACCGCTCTTAATGATTTCAAACAATAGGCAATTCATCAAGGGAACATGATCTGTGGCCCACAGGCATATGAAGTCTGCACATAGGCCATTGGACTTCCTCCCCGACGGACTATAGAAGACTGGACCCGCTACCCTTGTTACGCTTCTTACACTTCATTAGAGATAACAATCCAAGTTGTGCTTATTCATGTGCCAGGCTACAAATTAGGCCGTCATACCAGGCTGATATGCCAATTAGGAGGCTCTGATCTCAAAACTGCCGACTCATAGGATGCAAAAGAAAGAGTGCGGTAATTCCCGCTCATTTCTCACCTGCCACCTAATTAGAGATGGATTAGGCGAAGGAGGAGGAGGAGAGGAGGAACTCCCCCTTCTCTCTTCTCCCCCTCACTTGCATTGAAGGCCGCTTCCCCCCCGTCCCTTGCATGATCGGAATATGAAATTTAAAAATCGAAGCTTTGTCCTCCCGTCCCTTTTACAAAACATCGAAAACAAATGTAATGTAAAGGTAGGTTTCACGTGAGGGACGGGAAAGGCCTTCCACCTTCACATGTTCCGAAAAGACAACACCCCAACAGTATGACTGATACAGTAGAGCGAACCCCCAGGACAAAGCCCAGTCCAGTAGTGAGCCTCCTTCGAGTGAAAACGGTATTAGGCGATACAGGAGAAATGAGAGGTGTTTCCAAAACCAATAAATAGTGTCAAGAATCCAAAGTTTTCGAATTGTGGTTACATTTTTGCAAAGCTGTGATTAGTCTTCCAAGAAATCTACGGAGGATGGAATATCGAAATGAATAGAATAATTCGTTTAATTATAGTTTACAGGGTGTCCCAGAATATCTGTCCCATTTTGAAACAGCGTTCAGATGTTCAGAGCGTTTTTCAAAACAGAACGCTCAAATACCATATTAATTTCACAATTGTCTGAAATGAAGATACAGGACATAAACACATCAGTATTGTCTTAAAATACATAGTACTGGGAATAAGTTCGAGTGAAATAAATTGATCCACCTAGTGACAGGAATTCTGGGACACCCTGCACACAAGCAACGGGAGACAATGCTGTCCTAGATATTCTCTTCCTATGATGTCTTTGCAAACTGCAGGATCAAGAAAATTGCCACTGGAGATACGTATCACTGAAGAGCTCTACTCGTGGATTATTTACAGTGAGGAAATTCTCATCCAGGCCTTACAAATAAAAGTTTATTTCAAAATAATGGACTGAGACATGATGGCTGAAAAAGGACTTCACCAGATCCTCCTTTTCTTCTTAGCTCTCCGGATCCCTACTATAACGAATACACACAAGCAACACTCGAAATACCGGATTTCCATGAAGCAAAATCAATCGACCGATCTTTGCGGAAAATGCACACGGTACGAATGATTCCGCGAAGAACTTCAAAACTGTAAGATCAATTGGCGAATAAATTCACATAAGTTTCAAGCAAGAATGGTATAGGAGAAAAAAAAAAAGGAGCAAAATATCCAAAAATCTGAGCCCAGCTTCTGTCTCTTTTGCGGATTTATATACAGGAGTTACGTATTTGCAGACCTCTGGAGTTTCTTTTAAGATTGCGGGCAAAACACTCAGCGATTACTGAAGTGCCAGGATCATGCCAATGATAAAGCACGGCAATGAACCTTTCAAGCTAAGCAAGGCAATTGAAGAGATCTCGTTGACACCAGCGAGCCTGGATCCATATATTCTCGATACATTGATCGAAGACTCGCTTCGGACTATTTTCGTCTCGACTTGCAAGATCTTGAAAATAGATCTTCACCTCCTCGGCCTGGGATTCCAAGCAATAATGCCCTGTCACCCCCTGCAGAAGCCTAGTCATGTGGAACCCCGCCTGTAATTGAGGATGGGGGGAGATCAGAGATTTAGTCAGCACTCGCCACCCCGATGGCACATTGAACTGAAGGAAGCAGAAAAAATGAAATTCGAGAACGAAGAACAAGCAATATCAAAGGAACATGCAGAACAAGAGGAAATAGCCATGAAATAGCATACTCGTATAATACTTTAAGTTCGAGCTGTCCTCGAAAAAAAATAAAAGGGTGGGGGCCACGTGCTAAGAAGAGGAAGCAAACCACGTTGCGGAAACAGCTCCAGAGATTACAAGAAAATGCATTTTCTTCAGCAAACAATAGGGGAACATTAGATTCGAGGAAGAGTAAACCATCTTAGACAGTAATGATAAAGATACAGAGGAATATAATAGCTGTTTTCCCCCCTTTTTTAACGCCATGCAAAACGAAGAACTGTTGGTGAGGTTAGACAAAAAAATCCCTCAATTATTCCCCGGAACGTCCTCATCGCGCGTGGGAGGGAGAAAGAATGTAACAGATAACTGCCAAGTGAGGTAAAAAGAGTAGGGTTAAAGCAAGGGAAATGTGGAAATCGGCGAGGGGGAATAAACCTTGGTGTTCCCTTTTCTCGCATGCATGTCTCCGCATACAGAAGGGAAGAGCTGAGGAGATAGGATCAAGAATCGTTGTGACATGTAAGGAAACGGAGAAGGCTCCTCGGCAATTGGGGGAATAGGGATTTCCCACTCTTTTTGTCCGGAGGTATTCCTCCGTAGAAGTGGGTTGCATAGCAAGCAGGCAGTCATGCACATCACACCTACTTCACTCTTCCTCATTCAGTTCCTCAAAAAAAGACCCTGCCCAACCTGGACAATTCATGAGGTTTTCAACAATCCTTTGCGTTATCCTCGACTATTCTTCGCTTTGAATGGGAATTTGCAAAAATACGTTCGAAATGTTACGATGATGATTTCCAGAAGATTTCCAGATTTAACCGAATCGATACATCGAATAAATATTAAGGAAATGGGGTAGACGCAACTCCCGCGTCTTGATAGATACTCACCCCATAGCGACGAGAGAGTTCTGGCCAATTTTCCTGCAAGAACTTCCAGGCAAGATCTCGGCCTTCTTTATGTTCTGCCACGGAGAGAACAATGGATACCGTGTCAGGGATCCGCACTTCATCCTGGGAAACAAAAATCAATCATTGGATACGGCTTTCTTCCCGCAAAAAAACAGAGGAGAAGTAATAGAATAAAAGAAAGAAGCGATGGATGAGTGGCCTCCAGGGCAACCGGGAATGGATCAAAGAAGCGTGTGACTTTTTTGATCTCATTCACGAATGGGAAGGGGAAGGTTAAAAAGAAAGGTCTCCATTTTTTGCGCCTTCACGGACGCCAATAACGCATGTAATTTAATCTACTTCGTGGGGTGAGGCAGGAGGGTCGAGGTCACCGACGTGAGTATCGAGATTTCATTGAGTGATGAGCCTGCCGAGCAATTGATCTCGGTCTCACAACGCCAAGGAGTCGGGGATCTGCCCAACACATATGATTTCTCATCAATTAGGAAAGGCCTCATTACTTCACGCCATAAAAGAGGGGGCCCACTTTTTCACATGCTAATAGAAAGGCCCTATATACACAAGGTGTCTATATTATGCACGGAGCGTGGGAAAAAAGGCCGGTCGGCCGTAGAGACCCCTCCACTTGCTCTGGGTGTGTCTGCATTTCTGTCTTCTTCTTCTTCCCCCTCCAACACTCTTGTTTCCATTCTGTCGTCCTACCCCATCATCCCCATGGCCATTCCCCATGACACTTTTATTACAGACGGTTCAAAAGACGTGTAAATGCGCACAGCTGATCATGACGTGCGTACTTCTTTCCCACTGGCTCACAGCCTTCCCTCTGGATTCTGTCAGTGATGCAAAATAAAAACGCTCTGAAAAAAATTATGGATATTTCTCGTCCCGAAGTTGTCAAATTATAATAAAATATCATCGTTCTGGTCCGTTTTGACTGCGTGCTCGCGATCTAGTCGCGGTAGAACAAGGCGTAAACACTGCGCAAACATTATACATGAATGCGAGCAAACGCTTTCCATAATGAACAATGAATAGCAATTTACCAATATATGGAATTGGTCAACCGAGATAAGGTCCTCGGGGAAGGTGAAGGAGCTCCATTCACCGCTTCTTCAAAGGAGCAAATAAATAGTTAAAGTCTTCCCTTCTCATTCCCATGGGAATTGAGAAACACGATGGATGGAATCTATGGGAGGTCAAGAGGTCCAGGACCAACCTGAAGAAATCTTTATGAACATGGAGATATAGTTTTACATTGAGATTGTTGAGAATGGGCTTCCTAGAACATTACTCCACCTCCTCCTCATCATCATCATCGTATTCGACTTCATCCGTGTGGTCCCTTCTCTTCTGTGATTGGTCCGAGTCACGATCCTAGATGAGAAATTGCAGTCCGGTTGCACGAGCACTGGTCAATTTTCCACGCGCTATTTATTAATTGCTGTTAATTGCCAGCTAGGGTGGCGTCCATGATGGATGGTGCATAGGCTGCCCTGTTGCCCCTTCCCCCTACCCATACAATCTTAGCGTGAGAAAAGCCAAGGAGACTACCGATCTCTTGCGTCTACTAGTGCCTCACCTTCTTCCTCTTCCATCATCTCATTTCCACCTCGACTGTAGGTTGCATAGACCGCCTCATTCCATAATCAGCAACTGGAGTCAAGACTTTTCCAAGAACTCCTTAACACACCGGAACTTCAGTTCTTCCCAGTGGGATTTTTTCGAAGAAGAAATATCCCCCCGATCGGATACCCCGCAAGGGAAGGTGGACGATGGATTGGTAAAGTGAGAAGGGATGTGAAAAATGGGAAAATATTAAGTTTATGTCCGAGGCTGCTTTGTTAGGCTCCATTCAACCCGTTCCCAATAGCTTCTAATGAAGGAAAGGGAGAGGTATGGGGGATCGGGAGAAGCAGGGTGTTTGCCAACGGACGTATAGGAGAGAAGACAGCTAGCCCCAAATTTGTACCACCAATCGGATGCCAATCTCAGCGGGGAGTAGAGGCCTTCAATCATCATCATCTCTGCTTCCCTTCCCTTCCCTTCCCCTCATGCCCCCCCTCTTCCTTCCCCATATTTTTCATTTCTCTTCTCCATCTTTAGCTCTCCGATCCCGTCTTATAGCCTTGATCGAGGCATTCTTCAACTGCTCTGCGTGAAGATCCACTGTATTCCAGTTCACAGGTCAATTGATTGACAGCAAAAGGATGCAGAGCATCCAAAATGAGGCCATGAAACTGGTAATGATGAGGTAGAGGACGATTGCACAGCATGAAGATGCTGTTTGATCCTCCAACTTTCTCTCTCGCTCTTCAAGAGTGGAAATTGAATTGTCTCCCTGCTGTCAGAGACCGCGCATCACCCCAAACGCCTAATGATAGAGGGAAACTGCTCATCATCGGTACATATTGTATCATTTTCTTGTCATGATTGAAGAATTCTTTCACGTTCTCTCTCCCTCCTCCCGCCTGGAATTGAGAGGGAGGAAGAAGAGGAGGAGGCAAGGTCATGGGCCTCAGGTCTCTTCCATCACATCCCTAGCCTCCTCTCTATCCATAAACACATACCGCGCCTCTACCTTCATTGTCCTCATAGTAATCGGTAATGTCACATCAAATGTCAATAGGTCGATGAACCAATATCCAGGGCACATAAACGCGTCAGACTCAATTTGTGACACTCTTGGGCTCCCTCTTTCTAGTTAAAATACCCTTCCAATATACGGAATACAGACGGATAGGGGTAAGTCCTAATGGGTCGTGCAATACCTAACTTGGTCACTCGCGATAAACCCTTTCAAGCTTATAGGCTTTCTGGAATACCAGTACATCGGAATTCTTCCGGTATTCGGAACCCCTCCAATCCATAATTTCAACGATCTGAAATCATTCAATTACTGAATTTCATTTCCTTACATGTGATGCTTTTTTCTATTGATTCCCGAATATTCTTTTAGGGCTGAATTTAGCCTCCGGTCTCTTCAAATGAAAGTGTCCTCTTAAGTGTTTAATCCTCTGCGCCATTGATCTTAAGGACATGGTACTCGCATTGGAGCGGGGTAACATGGACTATGCCCAGCCTGCATTAAATGTCATATTATGAGCAACGTGATCCATGCATCGACATCTCTTTCATGTTGGTAGTATGCTGCTTCTTTTTGCTACAATCATGTTTTAATTAAGCCCGAGTAAATCCTGTTAAATCTTTCATAAAAGGTCAGGAATTTAATTTGGTTTCAGAAGCTTCCTTTTAGGGCCACGGATCTCCCATAGAAACCGATGGAGTGCTTTTTTTGGGTTCAACCTATACTCTTGTAGCGTTGGTTATGCATTTTGAATACTTACACGTAAGGAAGGCTTGACGAGAATGACACTGGCCAGGCAGTGAAATTTATTCTGGAATGTAATTATTGCAGCCTCACTCCAAGTACAATTTCATTACTCATCAATAACTTTATCTTCTCGTCACGGTAATGCAATTCGACTGAAGCCCTAATGGCAAGTCTATCCCCAATAATAGCATGAATGTGTTGCAATTTGACAGAACAGAAGAATTAGCATCAAGTTTTGGCGCCAGAGGTCAGATTTTCTTCGCAATCTTGTCATGCACTTACCGGCAGTAGCCTAAATGGCTGATGCGAAATTTGCCCCTGGAACTTCAAAAAGGCCGCCTAGTCATGCATAATAGAGCCTAAAGGTAGGTAGAAAAGGAAGGAAAGAGGGGAAGGGGGATGGGGGGGGGAAGGGATGATGAAGACGTAAGGTGAGGGAGGTGCGCAAGAAGACAAAAGACTTTCTGATGTTCCCTAAAACATTAACAAGGCCGGGTCGAGACAATCATGCATGGGGAACTAATCTCCCTCCCGTGTCTAGAGCCCAGTTTCGTTTTATATGTATAAAGCCTCAGCAGGGGAGCCATTTCTTCGGGGTGACCGAATGAATGGACGTCTTAATCAGACTACCAATACGTCACGTACGCTCTCCCTCTCAACCCATGCATAGCTTGGGATGAATCTTCCGCCACAGATTAATGCCCCTCTTTTAATGCATTCTTCCTATCTCTCTTTTCCCCCTTGGCATCAATTAGACGGAGAGAGAGAGGGGGGGGGGGGGGAATAGAGGGGGGGGGGGGGGGGGGGAGGCACAAATTGGAGGGGGGGGGGGGGGGGGGGGGGGGGAATAGAGAGAGAGAGAGAGAGAGAGAGATGGCGCGTGGCCCGTGGATTGAAGGGCAAAGCCGTGCAGGTCACATGAAATATGATCTGATATTGTAATTGAAGGACCGGGTGGAGCACAGCCCTGGACCTGAATCAAATGCGTGGGAAACGGAGAACATGTAAATGTGATCAACACCACCCACAGATCATTACAACCTGGACCCCAAGAATCGGTTTCTCTTTTTTCCTTTCCTTTTTCTCTCCCTCTCCTATCCCGCATGATTTCTGTTCTTCAATTGAGCATGGAAAAGGCGTACGGAGCTTTTTTGAAAATGTGCATCTGCTAATTAATTTTACAGATTTTTACATTCAGCTTACCGGTCAGAAGGACTGCGAATAACTCAGTTTCAACTGACGTTTTCACTTATCGTATCGCTTAATTTTACTATATCTGGCATAAAGATGAGGTGGTAAATAAAAGACAAATGACTTCATCGGCTCTCCATCCGTCAACCCATAACAATTATGGGGGATATTTCCGTAATTCAGCTGTATAATCAACGAGTTTACTTTCTGAAGCAACTCTACTTTAACAGTCCTGTCCGTCTTTGTAAAATCTATGCCTAACACACCGCATTTGATGGACTATTCTTCGTTTTTGAAAGGCAACTGGAGTGGAACCAGATGGACAAAGAGAACGGCATGAAGAAACTGATGATATTATGCTTCAATTATGCAATAATTAGAGGGTGGATTTCCAAGCAAAGCCATACTTTTCCTACATCCGTGCAAATGCATCTGCGCATGCTGAATGGTTTAATTACACCAGTGGAAATAGTATCAGACCATAATAATACCAAATAATAATTTGGTAATATTTTACGGAATAAGGTCATATATATCCAATAATTATTGTGACCGTATGCATGCGATTTTCTTAAATCACCACCATTCGAGGATTTCTTGTTTTGTTCGCTATAATCGAAATATAAGATCATATTTTAACATAACATTTTTTTTAAAGCAAATTTTAGGTAATATAATATGCTCTCTAGGAATGAAATCGAGCTGCATGCAACTCTTACTTGACGGAAGAAAACCGGAAAAACGATATCATAAGCCGATGACTTCAAGTTCACTACATTATTATCTTCTCCACACTAACGGCAATTGCTCACGATCCAATACCAGATCCGCTTTCAATTGCTGGATAGAGATGAACACCAAGACTTTCACGGATACTTCCACACGGTACAGGTAAGGCAGAAATAACATCCCTCACTTCATTAATACAAAGGTATCATTTCCTCACCGTAAGAGACAAACGAAGAGCTTTTTGCAGTCTGGTTGAGTCGGGGAAAGCGCCAAGGGCTCTCCCCACGCGCCTCTTCTCTTCGCTCAATTCTGTCCCTCGATAGATCTGAAGAAGAGACAAGGAAAAATATCATGAACAATTTAATTGCATAAATAATTCGTTTGTGCACTGTCAATTGCAGATATAGGAGCAACTGGAAAAATAAGATACAGATATTATTTTTTATTATATACAGATTGTCTTATCTCTCATGCAGAGGATATCTAGTGAATCGTGAAAATGACCCCTTTAAATGTTCCTGCTGTTAACAAAGAGTATCTTTTCGTCGATGTCACAAGAAACCTCAAATAATGACATGACGTCATAGAACACCAAAGATGGACATGAGACCGTTAGTAGCCGCGCATAGGGGCCTGGGACTCCTTATGTGTACTGTCACAATATCCACATTTAGCGAGAGTGGACTGGGAACAAACAAGCTGAGAGGAAGAAGGTGAAAGGTCTAGGGTCTCCATTGGAGTGGGAAGAAGGTCTAGGGTCCAGCCGCACCTTGGAACACAAGGTGGATGGCTAGCTCAGGTTCAGGCTCAGGCTAAGCATTGGGATTTGTATCTGTCTGAGAAGTGGCTAGCTGTGCATACGAATGAGGCTCCGGCCCTCCCTTCACTCACTGTAACATCATATCCTTGTTCACGTCAATGTGGCTCTAAATCCAAATTAATATCAACAGGTCACCAGAGCAACCACATCCCCATTGTCCACCTATGACCCTCAAACATGTACGCACGCACGCACGCACGCACACACACACACACACACACACACACACACACACACACACACACACACACACACACACACACNCGAACACTCACACACACACACGCACGCACGCACACACACACACACACACACACACACACACACACCCCTAACTTTCAAAAACTTTCTCGGCTCAAGGACGAAATACGACGACGGATTTTTAAATCACCCTTTAACGCAGCTCTAAATAAAAATTGCCTTGACGTCGAAGTTCGGCATGGAATCGACAAAATCGGAATACGAACGATGTCGGCTCGATTTTGTTCATTGCCTGGGTCTTCCACTCTCTCCGCGGAGACAAAACAAAAAAAGAGGATAAGTCAAGGTTCCGAAAGAGGGCGGAAAGAAATTTACGACAGGAGGGGAACAGGGATTCCTCTTTACCAACTCCCACGTCCGGTCTCGAAGCGGCACCTTGATGAGCAATTATGACCTACGTTGCCACTTTCCACTCACGGGAGAAAAAAAAGGGCGTGGGGGAGGGGGAAGGGGAGGGGGGTAAAGATACTCGATACAGATTCTGAGCCTCTCAACCTCTACCAACTGGAATCTCCGTTGGGATGGGACCAAGGAAGAAAAGGTTATTAAGGAAGAAAAGTCGAGAGTATCACCAACAGAAGATATTCAACACTCAAAATAATTGATGGCGTTCAAAGACCAATTAATTCTGAACTGTTCGGTCGCAAGGGCACTCTTCGGAATGGAAGGATGTAATATGTCTTCTTCCATCATATTAGGAGCGGACTGAAAGCCGAGGGAGGTTGAATTGAAAAGAGAAAAACCATATTGCTCTCAACTACCTGGGAGGGGGCATGGGGCAAGAAGCCGGAAGTGCTCCTAGGAGATAATTAATTTTTGCAGGCTAACGTAATGAATGAGACTAATAAGAAAGAGAGGAACAAAGACAGATTGGCTCACCAGGCCTGTCATTCCTCGCCTGATGGATGAAGGATGTTGACAGGAGAGCAAGCCACCGAATTCCACTAGCATCTTAGGACTATATACAGATCACACAGCCCGAAAGAGAAAGAGGGAGAGTGTGTGTGGGATTCATTCTTCTTATCTCTACTCTTGTCTCAATCATTTCTCTTTCTTACACATCATTCTTTCGGATAGTGGCTAAAATAATTCACATTAAGAAGCTGACATGAATCTGCTTCATGAAACGCAATACTACAGAAACCATCCCAGGACTGCAGAGAAGCAGGATGTACCTTGAGGAGTGCATCAAAAACTTCTGAAGATCCATTGGCAGCTACTCCTCTGTAGACAGAGGCACGAAGATCCGGTGCCAATTTCTGAGATTCAGAAATATGAACTTGGAACTTCCTGCAACATTCCTCAAGGACCTCCGGATCTCTCAATGATACCAATGTCGAGAGGACGACGCTACGCAACAAGGATTTCACGTGTCCTGCAGAGGAGAAAAACCAACATGCCACAGTGGCAAAATAATATTCCATCAATGTTTCAGTGATTTCCATGAATCACCGGATTTCAAGATACTGAGCGATTTTTGCAAGCCTAACTATTTAATTTTGCGGAGTACTATGGAATAGGAACGGAGTTGGCAGGAAATAAGTATTAACAACAAAAAAGGGATGTAATATTCAAAAGTGTTTACCGCATGCAAAACAATATCACCGTAATCCACTAAGTCTTGGGGAATGTCCTTCCCCAATCATTCGTCATCGGCTCATGAATTCCCATTCCTTCTTTGGCCAGAACATCGGTTTCTCAACTACAAGCACCATGGCCAATGGATACTAAATAGGATGAGGTGAAAAGGTGAAAGCAGTCGGAAACCCTTGGAAAGACGATGATATTGCAGAAACATTTCGCGTCGCACACTTCCTCCTCATGCAAGAGAAGAGGAAGGAGGTAGAAATAAGAGGAATAGAGAGAGAGGGAGGGGGAGAGAGAGAGGGGGGGGGGGAGAGAGAGGGGGGGGAAGAGTGCGGCGAGTGTGTCTTTCTTATACATATCTGGTGGACTAGGTATGACAAGGAAAGGAGCGAAGGACCAGCGGCGGATGTCATGACACATGGGCCATGGGTGGTGGAGCTGGGACTAGAGGACTCCTGCCGAGTTGACTGATAGCTCCATGTTACACTTCATTTGGGACCCCCGGGTCACTTTCACACGAGCTCCACAAACAATGGGAGTCTATCGACAAGACATGGACTGGGGGAACTCCCTGTCCTGTCCTGTCCTATTCCACCTCCTGCCAGATGAACATGAGACCCTGTCAAACGCCTGCCAACTCTATTTCTCTCTCTCCTCTGTCCTCTCGCACTCTCCCTCTCCCTTTTCAAGGCTCTTCTATTCCCCCTCTAATTTCACGGAGAGGGCAAGAAACGGTCTCGACCCCCAGGAAGAGCCCTGGAATTTATCTGCATTTCGAATTTACGACTCGTCCTCGTTTCCTTCCAACGACGGTCAACCGAAAACTTCATCATCATATTTCATGACAAAAAGCCGCTCCAATTCAGGCGCCATTTGATACAAACTACGACGAGTGACTACGTTTAATGATACGCCCACCAGGCTGACGTTATCATGCCAGCAGGCGCTTCTGACGGTATCAGCGATCACCACCTCACCAGATTACAAACTCAAATGCTCACGATAGGCAGTAAGGGTACAAAAACTAATCCTTTTCAAAGAGAAATATATAGACTGAAGCAAACATAATAACTAACTGAGACTGGGGGAAACAGTCCGCCCCTTCCCGAGAAAACGACTATTTGCAACAGGGGAATAGTTAGTCTTAACTTATCCCAGAGACACGAAGCTGAAAAAGTTCTGATCTTACACAAGGCAATAAATCTATATATAACAAATAATGATTGTTTTTTATTGTCAGTTGTAAAAGATGAAAGTAAAGAGGGATTTTTCGCCATCTGAAGGTACAAGCAATGGATACTTTCGTACTTCTGATACTGAACACGGAATATTTCCCATCGAGTACTGCTGACCGCGCACTAAATAATCAAGAAGCATTTTGGATTTCTCATGCACACATGGCAAATTGATTCAATACATCTTTGCCCAAATAATTTATAATGAAATAGCATAGATATTCTTAATTTCCCATTTTAGCTTCAATCCTATTAAAACATTGCCATAGATGAAAAGTCTCCCGTGGGCGTATTAATTCCTATAATTTTCTTATTACCCTACATGGGGAGCCATAAACTAATTACCATATCATAACCTATTACTGTAAAAGTCTCTGTATCATCAGCGCAGAACACACTATCTTGATTCTCTCGCTTTACAGACTTGATGAATTTCAACCACACAAAAACGTGAACCTATGTAAGTGATGCTTCCAGGTTTCTCAGCTCTCTTTCATTTGAAATAATTTCAACAGCTTTCAAGAGAATTGAAACCTCTGCAGATCAGGTATGTCTTTACTATACGGCATACACTTTCTCCTATCCTTTCCATGCATCACTTAAGTTGCATTTGAAACGAGCTCAAAATCTCAAACTGCTGCGATAGAAGGTGTTGTGGTCAGGGTCAGGTTGTGGCTGTCTGTCGTCCTGTCTTCTCATTGTGCATGTCTGACAGTAGCGGAAGGGAACGAAGAGGGATTAGATATCGAGGAGGATTTCCATGAGAATCCCCCTGGATATTGGATCAGCATGAGGTCAGAGTCATCCGTTCAGGAATTCTGACATCTCTCCGGTTGGAATCACATGCCAGAAAAAGAGAGAGCGAGAGAGAGAGAGAGAGAGAGAGAGAGAGAGGCGGTGTGACATGAGGATCACTTCTTCGGACAGAAGCAAGAAAAAAAGAGAGAAAAGGTGACACATGTCATACTGCTCCCTCTCTCATGTTCACATTTTTCAAACTCCCCTACTTCACCACTCACATGCAAAGTATGTAGCCCTCTCAGTGGGGGACTCACCTTCGTTGGGCACAGGATCCCAGCCGACTTTCTGCCGAATCGGAGTCAAAAGATCAACAGCAAAAGTGCGAAACTTCTCGAAATTTTCTGAGTACTCGAGAAGTGCCAGGATCTTCTGAATGATATTAGCAATGGAACACCAAACTGGGTATTCTTCCTCCTCGCGGTAGAAGCGCAGGAAAGAGAGCAATTCATTGGTAGAACATTTTCCGCTTATCACCTGTTGGGAGAAAATGAGAACGTGACAAATCAGAACACTGTATACCGCCACGGGAATCAAAAGTTCTTTTATACACAAGTTTGCTCACGAGCAAACTTGTGTATTAAATTTCTTTCCGGAATAAACGAGTGTACGAATGAAACAACTAATCTATTGTTTCTTCAGTAAATATTTTTGGAGCATGGTTTTGTGCGCATATTCAAAGAACTGTTTTTTGCTGATATGCTACGGAGACTTTTTGTCGCGTTTTGTGGAGTTAGATTCAAACCTCCAGGCCCCGAATCTGCAATATTTTTTAGTAGAGGCACATCTGCATCTCGCATAAATTACGAAAAAGTTTTGTGTCGCTCACTCGTACTCTCGCGCCTGGTAAGCCCATGAATGGCCGCTAATTCACCATCTGGTTCAGGGCGGTATGGATGCAAGAGGTAAAGCGTAAAAACTATGCAGAGGATGACAGTGCAGGATGTGAAGATGACACGTTATCTACAGCCAATTAGGCTGCGGCTGGACCGAGGGAGTGACATCGATCTTCGGAGCATCAATGATATCTAGTATTATCCTTGAAAAGAGCATGACAAGACACATTTCCACGACAGACAGAAAGAGAGGAGAGAGAGAGAGAAAGATAAAGAGAGAGGACAGCGCCTTTCAAACGCCACGGAGGTAAAGGCCTATTGGGTTCTCCTATGCGCTTTTTTTTTCAGTCATTAGTTCTAGCAGCCCGGGATAAGGGTGCACGAGGGACCATGAAATTCCCCCTAGATTCAATATGCACGCAGTCGGTGTATGAGCATCTGGTAGGAAACCTGGCTGCATCCCGATTTCAATGGGAGATCCCAGCCGCCAAGCATCATCATACAGAAGATCACCCAACTAGAACCCTTTTCTCTTTTCACGGGTTTTCCCATTCAGGGCAATCAATGAATGCATAGCATGGCAAGAGGACCTGACGCTGCATCTCTCATTAATATAGGATGGGTTGAAGACCTGTCCCATCTGTGCTCGTTCCTTCCTCCTTCCCTTCCATCATCACCTACCATTAGAGACACGTAAATCTCTTCCCCTCTCTAGTCGGCAAGAGAGAATTTGGAGACACCTCCACTGATACTAGGTGAGGAGAGTGCCCAGCCCACTATGCGAGGAATGGAGCAGACCTCAGGAGGGCTTGATGTGGTTGCTCTCTTCTCTCGGGTTGGCGGCTTCCCGACCTTCTATGTTAAAGGGTCAAAAAGTTACCTGTCCATGCAATTAGAATAACATTTAAAATGTAAAACAGTGTGCCAGCAACTATTAGAGTAAAGGCAAAGAAAGGACGGAATCGAGGGAGCAAAGTGCATTTTTTTATCGGTGAAAAATGACGTGGCATCCATCTTTCACAGCATGAAAAATTGCTCAATATTTATTGCTTCGTCCATCTGTCAAAAAGCAAGCGAGCTAGCCAGCAGAGAGGGGAGCGTCTTCCCCCCCGTCTTCCTCGGCATATACGAAGAGGGAACGCGGCAGGAAAGATGCCACTACCGGAAGAAGTCAGAATACGTCACCAAAGTGGCTCCAAAATATTGAGGCATGCATGTCACTCAACCCTTCTCCTTTGAAGAAACCTAATAATCCTCGCTGACGCGAAAGAAGCACCTAAACGGCGATTAGTGGACAAAGTTGTGGAATCCATATCCTCATTGGGATGGGAGGTGAAAAAAGAGAGCAGAAAAGTGAAGAGAGGAAACGGCATGAAGATCCCAAAAGTTAACAAAACCAGTGTTTACGTCTACCTGTACTTAGGGGAACAGTATAGTCATCTCAACCCCACAAGAGACAAGCTGAAATTGGGATGAGAAATTTTGAGTGCGAAACCAGTTTCACTTCACTTGATTGATGTAATAGAATGATTAAGTTGGTTTAAATGTTCATTCGGCGTAGACATATGAAGCAAAAATTATTGAAAAGAAGTAGGGACCGGATGTCTGATGCATCGCTCAATTTGACAACATGACACGTCAAAACAAAGGTCACGGAAGCATTTTAATGTGCTCGCCTACCTGCACAACTGTAACCTCGACGGTACAAAGAAACTTCTGCCACTTTAGTACATAAAGTTGACCCACTTATTAATTACATCCTTCGTTTACTATGTTGTGGATGCCCCTGAGATGGTCTTGAATTGAATCTTGGTTGGGTTTTTTTTTTTACGCTTCTGAAGAAGGTCGGGTCTTAATGGTCCTTTCCGATGTGAAATTCTGTCCTTGGAACTCACGCCCACGTTCACAATTGAAATCCAAAACGGCTTCATTCCCTCCTTTCCCCAAGATCGCAACAAGTTCGCAAAGTCCTATATGTTACAGTATAATACTTTCAGAGATAGGGATGTACGTAGCTGGATATTTTCTGGCGACAGAACAGACTGACCTAGAGTAAAAGAAACGAAAGAACCTATTCCACTAAAATGCAGTTATATATTGTAAATACTCTGTCGATGCCTATTTTTGTGGTTTGAAATACTGATTTGGTGCTAAAGGAACAAAAATACATATTCATAGATTGAAAGCCGCGTACAGGCATAGATCGAAAACTACCAATTCCATTTTGACAATTGAGGTACCGATGGAATCGACTCACGCCTAGGGTGCATCTTTTGAAGTTCATGATACTGATCTAGTAAAGAAAGTACTAATAAGTACTAGCTACATTTCGACGAATGAGGCAATGTTTGGCTCGCCTGGCTTTAGGGGTTTGCTATATTGAGTCCTTCGCGCAGGAAAAATCAATGCTGAAGGTACCCTCGTACTATACATTTATCATCCGAAGCACAGAGATCGATCTAGAACGAATACTAAAGGATTGAATTCGACAAAGAGGAATATTGGAATCGGTTCACTTTGAGTGTGTTTTTAGGGGGTCTTGATCTAGTAACGAATATACTCGTCCTGATCCGCTGTTAAAAATACACGGATACAGAGTAAAAACTACAGGCTGCATTTGGACAAAAGGGACATTCAAGGACTTTCTTGGGCGAGACAGTTTGTCTTTTAAGAGATCGAGCACTGATTAATACTGGAAGTCAGAAAAGTTCGAGAATATGCAAACTCATAGGGGGCAAAATACATAACTATTGGATTTTGATAAAAATGGCGTCAATGGGAGAGTGAAATTGAGTGCCATTTAAGTGTCTTAAGTACTGCATTGAGCAGGAAGGTAACCACATTGTGATGTTTGCATGACCTTCTGTAGCATGTCTTTATTAAGAGGAAGCAACAGAAAAATTAATACAGAACTTATTTCTCTCACATATTCATTTCTCTCGTATTACTTTAGCGAAAGCTATACGGGTTCAAACGTCATACCAACTTCATAATCACTTCGTGGATTGTGCGTCGGTATCGAGAAACAAGTGCTGATTCGGGTTTAAAAATAGGGACGATAAAAGTCTTTGATGACTTGCTTCGCATACGGAATGCGAATGACACGAACGACCAACAAGAGGTATAACGCCGGATGCGGTAGAAAAATCCAGGAATGTAACGCCAGATGGAATTTATTTGGGAGCAATTTTTTAATATTAATATTTCGCGCTCCTACATACTCTGCTCCGAAAAATCAGACGAGGCTATTGCATGAGAAGCTTGTGTGCAGAGATATGACTGCACACTGTAAATTAGAAACGTAGTACTAACAGGCTAATGTAAATACGTTAGCTGGATGGGCGCATACCTGAATATTTTGAGACATTCGAACACTGTCGTACTATTGAAGTCTAATTGAAGCCATGCATACCTATCAAAGTACACAAGTGTACTTCCCAGATAAAGGGCCCTATTCTCATCTTTTGCGAAGGTTTTTTTTTTGCGCTAGAACTTCGTAATTTTTTTATTTCGCATTCAATTCTCATCCCCACTTTACGAACATATTCCTCTGTATGTAAATTTTTTCATAGCTCATTTTCTTCTAAAGTAAATTTTTGTACCAAGTGAGCCTATGAAAGCTCGCGTTACATGCAGCAGGTATCATGCATATGCCCCTCTCACAAGTTTGAGTTTTCTTCCAGTAACGTGTTGATCATGATGAACACTGTCAAAATTTTTATTCGCAAGACGGTTTCGTATTGGTTGAAAATATCGCAGAACGCCAAGATGTGATTAACGTGTAGGCAACCAAGGGCACTTTTGCTTTCCATCCCTTCTATATTGCGATAAAACATGAAGGACTGTATAAGGAGAACGCTGGTCATTGGTGACCCTAACTCAAGCCAATGATTCAGCACACTATCTGTGTACCAGCTGCCTTGACAGCTGGGACACTTCTCAAACTGAGAACTAGCAGTGCATGCAATTCTGTGTTAGCTTCGGGTCACCGGTGGCTCTCATGGTAGGCCTACTTCGGACACAGGGGGTCACCAGTGATCCCCATGGTGACCCCCCATGCTAGCCAACGTGACACTTGAAGAATTGGACCCGTAAGGAAAGTCAGGAAAATAGAGACGAGGAAAGAGATTGCTGAATTGGTTAGTGCGCTTGGAGTGACACAAAAACAAGAGAACTGAAGATGAGGCTCAAGTGTCAGAGTTGAATGAAACCACGACTAAAGTAGCAACCCTTGCACCAAAGCTCCTTTCTCTGTTAATATTAATCGCGCAAATCAGGGGAATGGATGAATTCCTTCTTTCGGGAAAAAAGCATTAACGTAACATCCTCCAATTTCAATAGCAGCTCCATCGCCATAGAGATCTCCACCCTTATGAGAGATATGAAAAATCTTCGACTTATGACTTCATAACTTTATAAATATTTGTCATTTTTTCCATTAAAAAAGGTGAGTATAGCCAAATGCAGGAATTTTTCTTCGCAGGAAAAAAAAAAAAGAGTTGCGCAAATTTTTATTAATAAAACTGGGATGATAGGGTTCAAAATGTTCTGTATATCCTTTTGACTGGCGTATTTTAAGACGCCTGTACCTCTTACTAAGCAGCAAAAGTATTGAATAGTAACTTTCTACCAAGCTGGGTA